AGAGAAGAAAAATGATTATCGGACAAAGAGTAAACACGTAGAGGAACTGGTCCGAATACGGGCCATGCATTTAATAATAATAATAATAATACTCTCCCTAATTCACCCCCTTACGAGTGAATTTCAACCCCTGAAGTCGACTGAACGACTTGTGTAGGGCAAGGGACGGCTATTATTATTATTTGCCGTAGCGCTCCCGGGCGGCTTAAAGATGATTGATGGTGCCATTTGACTTACAGGTGAGGAAAACCCGGAAAACCTCACCCACCATCATCGAGACGGTAATGCATGGCGATTTTTTAATCTGCATGTCATATCAACAGAAATTGAATTTCTATTAATACGGCACACATCAAATCCTAAACCTAACCATGCAATTTAATTAAAAATCCACATGGTCTGGTCTGGGATTCGAAGCCCAGCAGTCTCAGACTCATGAACTTGCCTATAAATGAATATAAGCGCGTTAGACCGCTACACTACCGACCCAATCAAGATAAGTATAATATACAGGGATTTCATTTCAAAACTAGCCACCCAAAATAAATTTTAAAATATCTTTAAAACAAAAAAACAGAAAAATACGTTAATTTATATTTACGGGGAACACATTTTACAAGTATCTCTAACCGTGCAGTTTCATCCCCTAAGCGGTGGTGAATATCACTTCTAAAATTTTAAATAGAAAGGGGTATCATGTGATAGCTCTTCTTAAAGGTCTCTTTTTTCCAATCTTTTGACACATTATTTTTTTAAATCGGATTAATTTTTCACCAAGTTATGCCATTTTAACCTTTTAAATTAAAATAATTATTATTTACATTGTATTTACATTATTAATATTTTATTTGCATAAGAATTACATTGTACTTAAATAAGATGTTCAAAATGTCCGCCATTGTTGGCAAGGCAATGGTAAAGTCGCAGCTCGAATTCATCCCGCACCTTTTGAAGCGTCTCTGGTGTAATCCGCTCACACTCCTCCATTATTCTACGTCTAAGGACAGGAATATCGCGAGGTTGAGTTTTATACACCACAGTTTTTAGATGTCCCTATAAAAAAAAGTCAAGGGGCGTTAGGTCATGTGATCTCGCTGGCCATTCTATAGCGCCCCTTCTTCCGATCCATTTATCTGGAAATGTCTCATTAAGCCAATTTCGTACAGGCAAGGCATAATGTGGAGGTGCTCCGTCCTGTTGAAAAAATAGGTTTTCTTCGTCTAGTAACAAATTTACATCTTGATCTATTTGGTTTTCTAAGGATTCGGTTATAAGAGGATTTATCAGATTTTCTAATAAGTTCAAATACAATTCCCCAGTTAAATTTTCCTCCATGAAAATAGGACCAATAATTTTATTACCAAGAATTCCGGCCCATACGTTGATTTTCTGAGGATATTGGCTGTGCTCTTCCCGAAAAACATGTGGATCTGTATTGTCCCAGTACCTACAATTATGTCTATTGACAAATCCATTTAAAAAGAAACCTGCCTCGTCAGTAAAACAAATATTTTTAATAAAATTATGGTCTTCATTTGCCCTTTGAGTCATTAATTCGCAAAATTCTAATCTTCTGTCATAATCATCCTCAGTAAGCTGTTGTAAAAGCTGTATTTTGTAAGGAACGAATTTATTTAGCCGTAACGTTTTATGCACAGAGCCAACGGAAATATTTGTTAATCTGGAGACTTTTGGTATTGATGTTTGAGGTTCCATGGCAAAATGACCTAAAATCTCAACTTGTGCAGCTTCAGTTAAAACTCTACGATTCCTTACAGTTTTATTGCACACACTTCCAGTTTCTTGAAATTTATGAACTAAATCCAACACATACTAATGCCCAACATTTTTATCGGGATGTCTCTGATTAAAAACACGAGCAGTTCTGCGTGCACAGCGTTGTTCTTCACCATAAATAAAGATTATATCAAGTCTTTCTTATAAAGAATAAACCATTGTCTACGCAAAAAACATTTAAGACTTTTTGCTAACTTGTTTGTCTTGGTATTTATACTCATGCATTTTAATTCAATATTTTTTCCGGTTTCTAGGTTATAACTTGGTGAAAAATTAATCTGATTTAAAAAAATAATGTGTCAAAAGATTGGAAAAAAGAGACCTTTAAGAAGAGCTATCACATGATACCCCTTTCTATTTAAAATTTTAGAAGTGATATTCAGCACTGCTTAGGGGATGAAACTGCACGGTTACAGATACTTGTAAAATGTGTCCCCCCGTAAATATAAATTAACATGTTTTTTTGTTTTTTTTGTTTTAAAGATATTTTAAAAGTTATTTTAGGTGGCTAGTTTTGAAATGAAATCCCATTTTAATAATTGTAGTGAAGAATAAGAAGAAAGACTCCATCAGGACATTAAAACTATGGAACATTGATATGAAAGACGATGGAATATCCACATGATGGCCAACTACTATTGTTCAGCGAGACTGTCCTAGTAAACTACATGCTAGAGAGTCGTATAAAAGAAAATGTTTAGGTGATAAGTGACTAAAGTATGACTGTATGTGAACCTACTTTGTGTAATAAATCACATACTTCGATTTTCTCTTACTATACGGGAAATGGTCGCATTACGCAGCTTTCTGAGTGCCTTTTAAAAGGAGATAGAAAACTTGTCGCAATAGTTTTAGTGGTTATGTTATAATATTTACCTAAAGCCAGTCCCCAAAGATATTATTTATCAACCTACACTTTACAAAACCAGTAACAAATAATGAATATCTTGAAAACCTTGCTTTTCTTGGTCATTTTATGTTAAATCTTTCCATTAGTAACAGTATATAACTACTTTAATTATGTTCCTATTATTGTATTCTAAATGCTTTTTATTTTTCAGGTTTCCTAGGAATTTCGAGCACTTAACTTGAACAGTGTTTACAAACCATTAATCAACTTGTTTAGAAATTATTTTAGGCTAAACTCTGTAATATCTGTTCTCAGCATTTTGAGGAAAATGCTTATTGCTCTTATGTAAAAAGGTATGTGATCATTCTTGAAACAATTCTTTGTAGAAGGCAAATACCAAGAAAATTGAAGCATTTACTTCAATAGATAGAAGCAGTATTAAAATCAAACGAATTAATATAAATAAACATGTAAGAAATATTGTTTACTTTTTGGAACATTTATATTATAATAATTATTTTTATTTATTTTAGGTTTACTTCCTCTGGCTCATCTAAACACCTGAATGTAGAGGTAGCTCACAGCCTCACTATGAAAATAGCCCCCTCTGCTAAATAGTTTATCTGGAACAATGACCTGTAATATTTAATTTTTGTCTTTGGTACAAGTAAACTGTTAACAATTTCGGATAAATGGAAATTTATGAGAAGCAAAAGTACCACTGATCCAGGTACATTGATTTTGTACGTTAGACAGACATAGGAATCATAAAAGTAACAGAAACGTCTTTTAGAGCCACCATATGTCGACATTCTTTTTACAATATTAAGTTGACGGACTAAGAAAAGCATAGCTAGACCATCGATTGCTATAGAAGCAGAAAGTAGGTAGATATGCAAGAGTTTTGAAAATGTACACAGGCAATCTAATGTTAATACAATTAACAAACTTGTGTAATCTTTGAAAACGAGAATATTGGTGGAGGTGGTGACAGTATTACCCATAGGGGTATTTTCTTGAATATAAAATATTCAGCAATTTCTTACTGTGTAACAACTGAAAGAAGACTCATTTGTAGATGAACAATGTATTTGTTTTAGTTAAAAATTTAACAACATATAACTACTTTAAAAAAAAATAACTGTTATACAAATTCAACGTGCAGATAAAATATGAGATAAAAATACAAACCAACTACCTATCTTTTGCAGCTTGCCTGCAATTATAACTTTACTTCAAAGAAGTTTCTTGTATATTATTTAAAATAAATAAACATTTCTTCTATATTTGTTGCCTTCATTTAAAATCTCAAAATGTCAAGATGTAGGTAGGCTACCAGTTTAACATTTTGGAAAAATGTGTTGCCTAACCTAGTAGTAATTGTATCAAAATGGCCGCGCCCTATGTTGGGCGTGTCAGACATCTCTCTTGCACCGTATAATAATCAAAGTATGTGATAATAAATACTTAACTCTATGTGTGTTTGTTTTTTGTTTTTTAACTGGCAATACGCTAGTTAAGTGATGATGTAAGTAATTATGGTTCCACTGACAATTAAAGTGACAGAAGATTTTTTGAGTGCGTTTTGTTCGTTTTGTTTACCTAAATTATATCGTTTTTTCACTTTCATAAATATATTCCTAAAGTAAGTAGACGACAACATGCATCAAATATACAATCGTTTAGTTACCAATTACATACATTTAAACTATTTTTTATGACCTGTAAACAATATTTAGAAATAAACTAAAAACAGTAAAAATGTATAGGTATGTCAAATTTATTGATGTTTTTGTTAAAAGTTTGGTTCAGTGGAACCAAAATGACCACACCGAACTAGCGTATAGTAAGAGCTATAACTTATAATGTCAAATATATACAAGGTAAAATAATAGTAAATATTGTCTATGGTAAAAACTAGATCTGATAGACTCAAATGTGATGGCTATTTTGGATTCTGATCCCAAAAACTACCTAGGAACCGTTTTAAAAATCGCAGACAAATGTCTGTTGGCTTGTGTAATCAATATTGTAAACCTTCGCAAACATTATTGTTAAATAAAGTTCATCAAGCTACTGTTTTTTCTTTTTAATAAATAACGACGTAACTAAAAAAAAAATAGTTGAAATTAGTTTCTTAGGTAGGTAGATAGTTATAAAACAAACCTCTTATAAATAGGATGCCCGATACAATGTTTATATCCTATATTAGCATTAAAAATTCAACTGCGATCTGAATCGAACTCGAGTGCAAATGCCAAGATAACTTTGAATAAAAAATAATACTCTCATTGCTCATAAACCGTTTATTTTTATTGGTCGCAACGGCTTATGTCTGCGAAATTAGCGTCACCTGAGCACTCTTATCTGCATGCATCTGAATCAAAACGTATTCAGAATACGCAATTTAGTATTATTACTATTATTATGTTACAGCTAAAAGACATAAAATGGAGGTTGTATTAACCAATGCGGACCAGTATATGGACGTCATTACTACTAACAGGACCGACTTAAGAATAATTCCCTACCGGGTTGAGGATTAGACATGCATTTAAACCCGTAAACATTTATTTCATTTATTACAATCCCAAGTCAACATTTGTAAGACAAAATTATATTATTCATAGTACTTAAACAGTTTTATTTTTAAACAATGTGCAAAAATTAAATAAAATTTATAAAAGTATAATAACCAACCAATTTTTTTATACAGTATATGTCCCACTAAGTTGGAATCATATGGAAAACTTTTTTATTATTAATTTTAGGAAAAAAAGTTATTCTTCATAAAAAATTCTGCATTATCTAAAACCTAGAATACAGTCATCAATTTTTTTAGTGGTATACGAGGTTTGTCAAAAAACATGAGTTTTACTCAAGAGTAAAGTACCTTTAAATTTGACAATTTCGAAAATTTTCATTAAAAACAGTTGATTAGAATTAAAAATTACATTCAAATACGCAATAACGCCGATCTATCTGAAAAATTAGATTTTTTTCTAGATTTTGCATTTATCCACCTAATTACGGTAATCCATAATTTTTCTCCCTCTTCTCTACTATAAACATGATACGCTTTCCTTTTCTTGATGTTTGTATGGATTTAGCAATTTTCTTAATGAAAATTTTCGATTTTTTCAATAATAAACGTACTTTATTCTTGAGCAAAATTCATATTTTTTGACAAACCTCGTATACGGCTTGAAAAATTTGATATCTGATGACTGTATTTTAAGATTTGGGTCATGCAGAACTTTTTATCAAGAATAACTTTTTTTCCTAAAATTAATAATAAAAAAGTTTTCCACATGATTCCAACTTAGGGGGACATACTGTATATCTATAAATTGGCACTTATTACACTTATTAAAAATCATCCTGCGTAAATTATTATGTATTTTCCCAGTATATGTATCAATCAGTACTTGCACTCTGAGGCGGCATGTTCTATCTTTAAAAGTAAAAATTTTAGTTGACACTTGACGTTTTTAGGACATGAAAAGTTTTCGAATTTTTGTTCTGCTGCATTTCAAATTCGTGTGTATGAGCGAGATGTGAGATAACTTTATAGAGACAACGGTTGAACAACTTAATTACTTTGAAGAAGAAAATCGATTAGATATCAGGAGAGTCTTCGCAAATATAAAAAGGACAGAACCATTTTAATTTTTTTTTATGTATGTGATTGAGTGTCAAAAATGTTTGAATTTCGAAACTAAAATATTACTTTTTAATGAAAAGTTTAATTACTTTTAGTTCAAAATATAACGTTAGTTTGTCAAGGGAAATATATAACACAAAAAGTTAGAGCAACAAATTAGAGGTTTTGCTTTATTTCTTAAGAATTACTCTAGTCTAAAACTTTTCTAGTATACCTATTGTAGAAATTTATTCTATGCGTTATTTAGGTACTGCAAAATCTGTAGGAGAGTATTTAGTTTTAAATATAAGAATTTGTAACTGAGACATATTTAATGTAGTTTTTCTTTTACAAATATATCAGTCAGGAAAATCGTTACTTTCATTATGAATTAATTGGAATTTATTTAAAAACGGGAACTATATGTATATGGTTTTCGTAGTTTTTATACACCTGTAATAAAAATATCAAAGTTATGTACAAGGTGTTCGGTAAACATGCGGCAAAAATGTAACAGGTTATTCTTTGGACAATTCTAAGAATATTTTTTAATCTGATTATTTGTGAAAACTCGCTTTATTCGAAGATAGTTAGAAGATAGAAATAGTTCAATAATCAATCATTAAAAGCTCGTATCCAAACTGAAGGAAGTCAGTTTGAACATTTATTGTAGATTAGGCAACTTCACATGTACTTTTGGAAAATAAAATGTTGTTATTGTTCCAATTTTGTTCGCCCTGTATCGTCGAAACAAAGGGGGTGTGCACAAATAATCGCATCACAAAATATTCTTAGAATAGTCCAAGGAATAACCCCTTCCATTTTTTTTTACATGTTTACCAAACACTCTGTATATTGGCCATTTACTACACACAGCAAATTCATAGACAAAATAATACAATATCACTATTTGACATTCTTATTAAACTGACTCTAAACTAAGTGACTACACACAGAATTGTTTGAAAGCAGTCATTAGGTATAATTTATTTATTGGATACTATAAAAAATGAATAGTAGTTACATGTAGAGTTAAGTAACAAGAAATTTAAAAACAAAAACAGAACAAACTCGTATATCTCGTGAAATGAATTTAGTACAGTATTCAACTTTCTTAGGCAACATTAATATCATTAATATCATTTGGACCTCGCTAAGAAACTCATTGGTAACAGCCATCAACTTGTTAAAAGAAGATATACTACTTGGATCTAAACTAAATAATTTTTTGTTGCTTGGGATTCTTAGATTAACCTTTGCCACACTAAAATTTATATAGTCAATTAAATCACAATCTTTGTACTTAACATTATTTAAAATAGAGTACAAAATATCACAGCCAGTTGCTTTCTTCTTTGTAAAAGAGATTTAATCTTAAAGCTATCGAGCATAGTTTTATATGAGATCTTATAAGGGTAAGAGTATTTTTAATGACATAAAGGTACCGTAAAAATATTTTTTGTACTTTTTCAATATGATCAATATGTGTGGCTTCCAAGGGCATCCATATTTGTGAAACATACCTACTCAAGATGGGGTCTTACTAAGGCATTATATAATCATAATCTGATTTTGGTGGTAATCCTAAAATTTTTTGTATTTCTGATTTAAAAACCCAAAGCTTTTATTGCTTTTTTAGTTATGTGTAAGAAATGGTTATTGAACTTCAAATTAGACTGAAAGGCAACTCCCAAATCCTTTACCTCATATTCACGATTTAATGTGACATCACAGGTATTGTGTCTAATTTAAAAAATTAAGAGGTTACGGATCCTTACAACTTAAAATATGCATATGTTTGTAAGTGTTAAATAGACGGATAAAGAGTGTTGATTATTTTTACAACTATAATAAGAAACTATTAAAAAGATTAAGAGCAATAGAACATATTTCAACAAATTTCTATAGGTACACATATTTTTGATACCTGATAATCAATAAACAATATATTTTTTTGAGTAGCAACCAGGTTTATTAATACACAACTATTATTTTGTTGCAAATATTTATATTGTAATATTTATAATTAACATATTAGTTGATACAAGTCCTTTAAAAATAATATATTTTGATATAATTGTTGAATTTATACATGAGCAATTTTCCTTGTAGCGTTGTTTACATTTTGCAGAGAAATATTGTATTTTGCTTTTAGCTGATAAATCATGTACATGTAAATGGGTTGAATGTAGACAATATTAATGTTTTTGCTACTACTGCTAGCTTGGAATGCTGGGCTAGGACACCAACAAAAAAAAACAAGGAAGCACAAAGCACTAGATCATTTTCTATCACTTATACCCTTACAATTTACAACCATTCAAGTAACTGTAATGTTGGAAATACTTCACGAAAACATATTAAACATAAATCTTTTTATAACACACCTTTTTAGCGTGATTACTTTTAATACTCTATTTATTCGAATGTCCTTAAATAAAACGAGCAATTATACGTAACAATAAGGATAAAACACACACTGAAGTATATTTGAGGTATTTTTGATCTAAATCCACTATCAAAATAACGAATTTTCCGTTTTTAAGCTGTGAATGTATTACAAAAACTACTTCGACTTGTATTTGTGTACGAAATATGGGTTGCCTGCGCATGGTAGCGAGTTTTTAACCGGATTTATGATAAGTGATAGATTATATCACGAAAACGTCAGCGCAGTAAAAGCTGCGCGTCTTTTACCCGTCCAGGAAGTGTCATATGCCTGGTATTATAGTCAAGAGAACGTAGTACAGGTTTAAGAGGTACACATTTTATTTATATATGTCATCCTTTAATGCTTATTTGTAGTTGAAATGAAAATTTTACCCCTCTATTTCATAGCCGATCAAATGCTGCTATTTTAAAACGTTTCCATGACAACCAAAAAAATGTCCGGAAATGTTTCTTTTGTTTGGTACCCTGAACGAAATTATACTGGATTTTTTTTTATTTTGGTTAATATTTCATTTAATATCAATTATAACTAAATATAAATACACTACATTTATTTTAAGTAATAGCTATTTGTGTATCATACGAAATTAAAAGTATATAGTTTTATTGTGCCAAATTTAAATCTTACTACGTTAATTTGACAGACACGGCTAACTTGACTAGCAAACGAAAGTATGTTATGTGTATATTGTGTTGCCTGCTTACTCAAGGATTAATTTTATGATACGCATAAAAAATATTTGTTAGTAAGTACATCTTAAAAATAACTTAAAAGAGCATCGGTTAGAATACTCAAATTACAAATTTATAGCTCATACACTGTTGTAAGTTTTCTTTAATTTTACAAACAAAAAAATCAAATTAAAAAAAAGTAGTAGCTGGTGAGGATTGAACCCACGACCATCAGTTCAAAGATAAATGCACTAGGCTCTGCACCAACAAGACATTTTAAATATGAGTGTTAAAGGATAATTTATTTTTAATATTTTAATTATCATTTAAATATTGAGGAAAATGAGGAGTAGTAAATTTCAACTAAAAGATTCAGATTAGTCTACATTTTCTTTTAAAATGCCGAATATCTTTATAATAAGAACCTTTCTAATGAAAATAGGCGTGTGCAAAAAGTAACTTTGCGTCTATATGCGGCAATAATGTTAAACTACGACAATTCATAGAAAACGTCAAATATGACAAATGCATGGCCATGGTATGGCTAACTTTGCAAATTTCATTTTAATCGTTTTAATGCAGGTCCGTCAAGTTATAAAATTTTAATATAT